TAATGACAATGCTTCTTCGCTTCAATGAATATTCCTTTGCGGTTAATGAACAGCAAAAGGTGTAATGGGCTGAAAAAGCTTTTGATATCGAAGGTGGCCCATTTATGCATCACATAATATAACATAGGAAATAGCCACACCCCCGGAGCAATGAGGAGTCTGCGCACAAGTGAATAAAGTATAACTTGGTGATTGTCCCTTTTTCTCATTCGGTAAATACCGCTGTGTTCTTTGACATAGTCATTTGAACAAGTTTAGTTTCGTTTAAGAGCAAATCATTTGCAAAAGTGAACTGTAATGTAAAGAATAAGCAGCTTGAACGACAAAACTGTTTTGAAATCCCACGCATTTTTGATGGTATCTGTGAATAGCTTATAAAGGAGGCTAAGCCTGTGCAAATGCGTCTGTGGTCTATAAAAACAGTGGTATGCATCGAACGAACGCGAAACTGGTGTATTGTTTAGATATTCAGTACCATTTACTCGGAATGCTATTGTATCTCATACATTGCAGTTTGTAATTATTTTCTTTTTATTAGAGTCACTCATGGGAACTGACATCTTACTTTGATATAGAATAAGACCCATTACAGTGCGAATCGAAAAACCGTGGGCATCTAGAAATTTTCTAGGAATGTTTTATTCTTCTTTGGCCAATTAGAATTGACTTTCTAACCACAAGATAACAATAACGCTTCTGATTGGCTATTGAACATTACTGAAATATTTCCACCGTTTTTCGATTTGCACTGTAAAGATATGATTTAAAAAATATCTAATAATATCCGAATCAATAATGTTAAACACTCTAACTATTTATATGTCAATCGATTTCATTCTTTCTTTTTGTTGTTGTCCATTTTCATTCCAGAAAAACAGAGTGGTCAATGTTAATTAACATAGTGAACTTAAATAGGCTTTCCCGCGAAGCAAAAATAGGTGCTGACTGCAGCTTGAAGTTAATTTACCGAGGGTGTGAACATGGCTCAAAATCGTGACCTGTCGCTAATGCGACCACATTTAAAATCAATCACAAAATGTCGATTTATTTTCAAGCCAATACAAGAAAAATAAATAAAAAGAAAATTAAAAATAGAAAAGAAAACACGGCGACCAATTGAAAGTGAAATCGAGTTTATATATCGACTCCAAACCTCTTTTTTTAGCAAATAAATTGAACCTACTTTTTGGGACCTTTTTTTCCCTTCTACTTTTCTTCAGTCACATAATTTTAGTTTTTTTTTTTTTGTAATTGGCTATTCCCTGCTATCACCTAGCTTGTGCCGACTTGTATGACAAAGCTAATTAATGTTTCTAAGTATAAATATAAAATATTATATGCTTCTATGCGAATAGCTATAGTCTATGTGGTTTCACTAGTGAAGGATATTCAATCAGTGAGGATTAATAAGCCAGCTCAGTGTTCCAAATGGCTCAGATGGGCATTGACTAATTGAGGTATAATAAGCAAGCTCAGTGTTCCAAACGGCTCAAACATCATGGCACTAAAAGGTTCGCCGTTGACACGATCAATAATTCCAGTGTTTATCTATCACTTTAAACCTTAATGTTCGTAGTAGACTCAGGCATCAAAGTCTCCCTTGGTAACAAGACTATAATCCTTCTTGCCTCTCCTTGCTACGACAAGCTTGATGATCATTAGAAATAAAATAAGCAGGCACGACGATGCAACAAGATAAAGGAGACGCATGGGAATATCCTTTAGTAGAGGAATATGAATCCTTCTCCCATAAAGTGTTGTTTGTTCCGGGTTTTCTTCAGGAGATGCTTCCTCCCACATTATACCAGGAGAGTTTTGAATCCCCGTACCTTTAGAGTTATTCCTAGTGGAATTTCTTTTGAACAAATTGAAGGAGAAGATGAACAAATGTGTTTTGGTGTGGTTTGGTTTCTGATGCGATGTCTCCAATGTTGTGTTTCCTTGCTCCAGAGACTCGGCTTCGTTGTTTGGCATTAGTCCCACATCATGGCTGCTGTCGGAGTAGCTTAACCCTACCAAAAGTACTAATAAAACAAAAGACATACCCTGAAGGATTATCAGGCTCATCTTGTGGCTGTAGCAAAAGCAGCAGTTCTATATCTTCTGGCGATGGTTGCACGAAAAATAAACCGTCAAGATCAGAGACGCAACTGAGCCATGTTTTGAATAATGGATGAATGTTATCACATGAAAGTAACAGGTAGTCTAAGGTAGTTGTTGATGAACCGTGACGCATTACTGGTAATAATCAAGCAGGTGATCAGTCTTAATCCTGCAAACCAACCAATCACGTCAGTGGGCGGGTACTTTATTCTGGGATAGTCACTGAAACTCAACGGTACACTGACGCATGATATTTAAAGCCAGGCAATACTTATTATTAGTCAGATTTTAATTTAAGCATTTTCATTTGATTCAGTAAATCCTGAGAAGTCGAGTGAGTTTCTGGTAACTAAGAATAACGACGGCCGTTTCTTCAGCTATAAGACTGATACTGCATGTATACATTGCGACAGTGTGCATTTACTTTTTGCATCGCCTTTACGAGGTTGAGGAAACAATTGGGTCAATTTGCCATTACAGTGCATCGTGTGGCTGTTTTAGGGGACATATTTCCAAGATGGCGGCTATTTCGTCCTCAAAACAGCCCCAAATGCAATGTAATGGACTGAAAACGAATCAGCGATTGTCGATCATACACAAACCAAATATCTTGAAATATTTACACTCAAAACGTGTATTCATAAAAATAGTATAAATATACAAAAAAAATTAACAAAACAACAAACAAACCAATCGGCATCCTCAAGTTTTCCAAGAGGTTTGATTTGAACTGATTGGGCACGGCTAATGCAGAAAGGGTCTGCCTTCATCAACATCGGAGCTATCAGGGTCGTCAAGAGGGATTTGGGATCACATGCATGCTTGAGATCGGGATAACATACTCCAAATCATTGTATCGAACCTACATAATTTATTTTATTTTCAAAATACTGGTATTTACAATACGGTGATGACATCTTTAGACACGAGACGGAATAAAATTGAATAAAAAAGAAAGAATTTGAATAGACACAAACTATTTGTTTGTGTTTGTCCAGATAAGAAATTCACAAAAGATTTTAACCAGTAAAAACGTTGAGGAAGAAAGTTAAAGTACTAAAACTAGTGATATAATAGCCCCCTGAGACTCGGTTTTACACAGCCATTGTGTCGATTATTTCACTGTATTTTTACGTGGATTTTTTTAATATAACTATTTATAAAATATTGAAATATGACGCGCGCGATGATGGATAGGCTGGCTACCGTGTTTATGCCGGAGGACAGAGAAAAATCGTTTAAAATTATTCTATAAAAGCAACATAAAACACCTGCTTATATCTATGTACTGTCATGTAAACACTCTGGGAGCTGTAGAGCACTCGAAAAGAAATGAAACACTCGGCTACGCCTCATGTTCCTAAGCTTGCTTCTCTCGTGCTCTGCAGCTCCCAGGCGGCGTGTTTATATCACAAGACAGAGACGCGCGCATCTTATATTCCTAAAATAAATGCGGTGAGCGGCAAAAATGATAAATGAATGTCTTTTTGCACAAGGACTTATGGTTCACAGTTGTCTTCACTTTCCTGATCTCTCTTGATTCGTAACAACTATAGAAAAAGGGAAAACCTCTCGATTCAAAAAAGGAGAAGACATGGGTTATTTTGACTGCATTTCTCATCCTACCGTTTTAAAATAGTCAAAAAGACTCAACATGAATCTCAATTTCAGTTTGAACACAACAAAACGAATAGGCTTGTTGGGTCAAGGGATTCTATAGTACCGTGAACCATGAAGGTGCAATTATATGGCAGCCCCATTCATTTTGCTCATATCTACCGTGTCAGTATGACTGAGGGCAGGTAAGTGCATGCTCATGCACTCACGAAGCAGAGGACGGTTGAACTATGGTTGGACTTGAATGACTGACAGGCACAATGCATGCTGTCCGAGTCAGACAAAAACATTTCCACACAATAACGTCATAAATATCTATCTGGTGTAGCAAATAACACTACACTTTACACGCCCAACTGTCTAAAGTTCATCAAATAAAAATGTCCGAAAGAGATTACAATAATTGCTWTTAAAGTCAATATGGTCACTTCCAGTATCTTGAGAAATGGTGATGATTTTTGCAGTGGAACAAAATGAATGCAACTGGATGAACCGACTTGCATCATCTTTGCATCAGTTACATGTATGAACCGTAACATTTGCCTTGCAAACTTTACATCGTACTTGGCAACACCAATAAAACTTGCACTTGCAGCGTTTCTCTTCAAGATCAATTCTGGTATTGTATCCTTTGTCACAGCAAAGGAGCTTGCAGCCTTCTGTACCTGGCGCATCTTTAATACACTTCCTTCCGCGAGTCCCGAGGGTGCCATGCTTTGGATCCCGAAAGCAAAAATTCGGCGAGGATTCTAAGAACACTAGCTCAGACTTAGTAGAAGGAAGCTGCCTTTTATATGCTCTTCTTTTTCTCTTTGGTAAAAGGAGTTTTCTTCCGAGTTCTCTTCCGAGTTCCACATGGATCGCGGCGTCGTATTTGTCGTGCAAAGTATTGCCAACTTCGCGGAAAGCAGAAACTTGTCTCCAACACGTCTTTAGACTACAAGAACCAGAAACGCCATGGCATTTGCATTCAATCACAGACTTTTCAACGACAACCTGGTAAATATTGAATAACAAAGACTTTGCTAAGTGAATCGATGTTAAATGAGCAAGTACATGGTCATAATAGATTCCAAGTCGGTCACTTGATTAGAGGATTGGAAGAGATACTTTAAATGATAACCAAGCACTGAAAAAATGGGCAACCTTACGTTTGACACTAATGCTGCGTGGGTAAAGAATTTGAGAGGATTTAACGTTTCCGGAGTAAAAATTAATCTTTCAATTCGTATTGCTGACAACACTGCATCATGTACATTCCACATGGGATTGGTATCTTAGTGTGATCAAAAAAAGACATACCACTGTCTGATTGAGCAAATCTCACCATATAAGGATATACGTACCATTCTACCAATTTTGTTATTATGCAGATTCATCAAGATTTTAGCATGCAGTTTCGCCAAGGTTTTAGCATCCTTCGCACGTTTCCCAGAAGAGGGCATGCTTTCTTCAGCAGCATCCGTAAACTTTTTGGTAAACTTTTCTGCATAGATCAAATTATCTCCACAGCCACCCCACATAAATTCCTTTGCTAGATCTGCAGGTCGTGCTTCACTGCTACATCCGCAGACCGCTGTACTGAGGTTTCCTTCTGCACACGCCTTTGCTAACGCCCACATTGCACCAGCCGATGAGATAGCATATGTGAGTGCTGCTTCTCGTGTACCTGGATTATGACAATGTTTTCCTCTCAATTGTGAACTGTGTTGTCATTTACTTCAACAAGTTTTATTTTCTTTATGTAGACGAATTTTTGACTAAATATTCCGTGCATAAATCATGGCTTGTTTTTCCTGTAAGCTATATTAGTGACAAATATATTTTATCTGCCGTGCATGGCTTCCTCGACTCTGCCTATATAAATGACATGGCGCTGCATTAGTCATTACATAGTTATGAAACAAAGCATTACTTTGCATTAGCTGTAAGTGATCCATAACCTTCCAGAAAAGTTGACTTTGTTTTCTAAAACATTCGTGCAATAAGAAATAAATAATAAAAAACACTGGAGAAAACGTTTATAGTATCAACTGATAAACAACATCTTTCATTAAAATCATTGCTGAAGTAATCTGCATTGACTCTGATTTCTGACATTTTATTTGTTAAGCATTTATCATGAGAACATGACAAGTATGCGAATTGAACACCTCAAGAAAAGCATCGACAAATTCATTCAGATATTTTCACAAAGATATTATGTGATAAAAAACCTTTACAACGATGGCCACCTAGGTAGATCTCCATGACTTTCTGTAGTCCAAGAGGATTTGTGTTATGGGCAGTAAAACACTTGTTTAATGATAATCAATCAAGTACCAGATCAACATCCCACTAATCTAACACGCTTTTCAATTCGAGTGGACACTCTTCAGTGGGTCAAGGACCCTCTTGTGACTATCTTTTAATCGGATAAAACTATTTTTATAAATACTAGTTCCTATAAATCATCCTTATGTTAGATGTTTCATGAAGAAGAAGAATAATACCTTTGGTGAGCTAAAAAATTTTCCAGCTTATACTCTCAATAAGAGTCTCTGACGGGACAAGTGTTGGCAAAGTCAAAGTGATGCGTAGAGGGCGCTGTACGCGTTTGCGGGTTGTGGTTTAACAATTAAACAATGAATTTAACAGTATTAAAACTATGAAACCTCAACAACAACACCCTTGTCATAGTCAATGAATAGTAGTTGGCTTTGCGCAATTGTTAAGTAACATGCCCAGTCAAAGCTCCTTGATGAAACTTTATAGTAGGATTAAATAAAGGAACCACTATCTCATTTCAATCCCTTTCACTCCAGTATTTCTGACAAGAATTTCGTTACCAGAACCTTGTATGGTAAACTGTGTAGCATATTTAAAATTTTAGCTTGAATTGTGTTATTGATTGAAAATTTTAGTGGGCGCATTTTTGATTCTGAAATAGGTCTAACTCAATCAAAACGACAAATGCTTCACGAATGAGAAGAAAAGTAAAAATGGGAATCTTTGTTTTGATTTACCCCAGCTATTATTGACGATATCAAAACAAAACCACATTTCCTATCTAGTCACACATTTTACTATAGACGCCACTACTTACATTATCAATTTATTTCTGATTGAAAGTCAATAATAGTCGGATTTATAATTTTGATTATTATTTCCCTGAAGAAGTAATCAGTAGAGACACACTCGAAATGACAAGAAAGGTAATTAAAGCCGGTCGTGGGTCGAGGAGGTCGGTTTAAGACATCTTAGCAATGTCGACACAAGTCCAATGCTCGAGGCTCTATATTAACGGCATTGGGTCTACCGCAGGCTGATGCTGGTCGAGTACTTTAGTGCCGACGAGCTCTTCCCTTTTGATACAGTTGAAAATAAGGTGTCTTTTAAACTTGAAGCCTAAGCACGAGATTTGTAAGTGTTTTCAGAACGTCAGGAAGAGTCACAAATGATGACACGAATTCCTTCTTAACGAACTACAGAGCGCAAATTATAGTTATGAGGTTGGTGTATCATTAGGTTATTAAGATGATTTTTTATCTATGATATAGCGGTACATACGATATACGGTTTCACATGCAGAGAAGACTTAGAGGCTCTGAATACATGCTTAACTAGTAGCAAATGGTGCATATAATTGATGGTCATAATGAAGTAATTATTGGAAACAGACTGCATGTCATTTAACTGGATCTTTTTACCGATGCCTTGCCCATGTGTTCAAATAGGTTCTAAACTAGTCTATTTTACGCTGTTTTGACAAGCTATTTACTGCAAGTATAATCGATTTTCAAACCAGTATATAAAAACGTTAAAAAACTTACTTTGGCGGGTGATGCGCTCAAGGAATGCGCCCTTGTCTTTGTCAGGCATGGAGCAGTTCCAGCGACGGTATTGAAATTGGAATTGGCATTCTTTAATAGCCATCTTGGCCCCAGTTCCAACATTTACGATTTGCTCCCTCTTCTCAAAGCAAATTTTGATCTGTTCAGCTGAAAGACCAATGAGGTTTGGACAGATCCCAGGAATCAAAGAAATTATGTATGCTTGATGGGGGATGTTGAAAGACCTGAGAAAAGAAAGCAAAAATGCTGAAATTTAATGCTTAGCTGGGCAATTTACGGGTAATTGGCAGTGGAAAAATTATAAAATCATTAGCGTTTCATAGGCGTGCGAAAGTGACCCACAACCCGCATATTGAAAAAACATGGGAAGGAAGACTAGCGCTTATAAAATACTTTACGGTATCCTTTATGACTTCATCAAGACCAAAACAATCCCGTACACTTAGTATCCTTATACAATAGATAGGAACTTGAAATGATAGAGCTGGATACCGTGTTTATAGTTTCTCGGTGTATCGTAAATCAAGCGCATATCAGCATGAGGGCGAGAAGAATAACAGCTGGAGAAACATCAAGGATTTAATAGAGAATACATAAACAAATTATGATTTCTCACCATACAGAATGACCGGCATGGAAAACCGAAGTTAGCATCATAGCCAACAAGAACACAGGCACCTTCCTGATCCTTCTTCCTGCTCTCATGATGAAACTTTGAAATTCCTAGAACGAAAGTATATAACAATAAACTCAGCTTGCTCAGTCTTCAGTACTGATTGCTCCGGTCACTCGACTCGGTAATAAAACTAATCGTTTTAACACGTGCACTTCGTATATAAAATAGGTAACTTGGTGATATTTTGTGCAAAGTTCTGATTGGCGGACGTTTGATTTGATCCCGACCTATGTATTCTGAGTATTTCCTAAATTTATTAATTGCAGATGCTGTAAATATGCTTCAAAGGTAATCCACTGAGGCGCAAGCCCCGGAGATTCGGCCCAAGCCTTTTGAAAGAGTCTTCGGTACATTTGGTTTTGCTTCGAACGGAAATGACGGCGTATCAACGCCTAGTCGATTACCATTACAACTACAAGAAACAGTTGTTTAATCTTGGCCATAAAACGAAGCTAACAACAGAATTAATGGCTGGGCTGGTCGGGAATTTTTTGGTCAAGCACGTCTCAACAGTCGTTAAACGAAGCGTTGCCTTGCTCGAGTGTAAACAAGTTAACGAGCAATGAATGATAAGGACGCACAAAGCTTTCTACGGTTGTACGTCAAGCCAAAAAATACTGAAAACCCGAGGGGGAAAAGTTGTGAACCTTGAAAGTCCTTAAGAAAATAAGTAAGTCTTAGGATTATCACATAATGTTTATCTAATCCGGGGAAAAGGAAATGGATATAATTGACTGTTGTTTACAGAGTCAAATACAGACCATTCCTGTGTAGTATTCCGTCGATCATTAGATTGTCATGGTCAGATCAGTATAATATTGTAGTTGTGGCATTAATCTTTAGAACAAGAGTATTATATTAACGACCTAAATCGAACTGAGTAGATATAAGTTTGAAGTGGATGATGAGTAAGACTCTTAAAGATGATTGGAATAAATAGCATAAAGATACTATAATGGCGCCACGGAAACACACAGATCTTGCGCGAAAACGAGCAAAGGCTGACTAACCCCTGGCGGTTGCATACTGTCATCTTCGTCCTCATGAACGCAAGTTAATCGTCTGCTCTCTTGGTTACACATTATGCAATTAGATGATGGATTCCTCTGAGGGGGACAACGTCTGCTACCCTAAGGCTATTAACGGATTTATAGATAGCTCGGTCAGCTAAATCCTGCTAAGCCAGTTGCGCACTTTCCTTGCTTCCAGCTATAGGTAATGCTAAAAGAATGCCGGTTGGCTATCACGGTGTTCGACTAAATAGGCAAGAGTGTCACAACAAGTGAAAACGTCACTGAGAGTCTGTTAGTTTTCTTTTAGCTCTGATCCTTATTTGGCTGTAATCAAATAGTTCAGACTAAGAGCTGTCTGTCAAGTAGACTTTTGATAAAAAACAATATGTACAATCCAGTCTTTCAAGACAACGAAATATTGAAGGTTGGACAAGAGATTTCCTCTCTTATTATCAATCCAAGATCTTATCGGCTTTCCACAAAATCAAGACATATTTCAAAGTAAGGAAAATAAATAAATACCCTGCGCATAATCAAACATCAAGGTGACTGGGTTCAGAGAGGAGTTAAAAGACATTTCCCGAACACAATGCCCTTAATCATGAATGACGATGTTTTCTTTTAAAATAATGAAAAGTGTCCTTCTACGCGTCTTACAGAGATCACTTCAAAGATGGCCAGTTAACATTTCTGATTGGTCACCAAGGTTAAGAGAAAACTTGTGGAGATTGATAACTTTTAGTTGAATTTGAGATGAAGAAGAAACTTGAGTTTTCAAGCGCTGACATTACAATCGCTCGTGGAGATAACCGTCTAGGGACACATGGCGCAGAACATAATTGACATTTTTTTATTTAAGAGAGCATCATTGAACTTAGATAACGATTTGTTTACTTTTTCTTAGAGCCTTGGAGTTATAAGTAAAAGTATTTCCTATTAAGAAAATGTTTTATATATTTATATATCTCGTGTAGTGCACGCAGGGTGTGTCAGTTGGGGGGTATAAGTACGCAAACCTGTGATCATGTTGATGTCAATCATATCGAGAAAGATGGAAAAGAATTTCCAAACATCATGAAAAAGGTTTATCTCCATAAGGTTAGGGTCCAAAGACGTGACACTAGTAATTCATGGCCTGAATCCTTGTCAATTGGAGTGGAGCTGTTCGAAGTGGAATTAGCTAGTTTTGAGAAGACGCTAATGTGCTCAAGACCACGAGTCACGTCGATGTTGGAGGCACGAATTCGTGTTCCTGTCGGCACCTGCCTTAAGGTAGGCGTCGGCTACCGCACCTTCCTGCAAACCCGAGGCGGTGGAAACAAACCAGACCAGTAACAATGTCCTGGAGCGGCAAATTAAAAGACACCTACGTAGAGACACGCAAAGTGAAGACGTCCCAAGAAGGATGTCATACCAGTAGCAATGTCCTAGGGCGGCAAACCAAAAGAAACCTACGAAGAGACTGGCAAAAACTGACGTCCCAAGAAGGATGTCAGGCAAGTAGCAATGTCCTAGGGCGGCAAAACCAAAAGACATGCACAGACGTTCCACAATGAGGATGTCATACTAGTAAGAATGCAGTTTAAGCCGGCAAACCAAAATACATGCACCTACCAAAGCACACGCAAATGAAGACGGTCCAACAAGGATGTCGTACCAGTAATAATGTCTAAGGCGGCAAAAAAAAGAAAAAAAAAACRTCCAAGAAGGATGTTGCAGATTTTCTCCCTGCAGCCAACTTAGAATATTGACGCACTTGCCTGTTCTGTTTTCTCCAAATGTATCAATAAAGGAAGAATTGGAAATAATGCCCCAGGAAAAGGCTTTTGTTTATTTTGTGTTAATTGTTTTTAGTAAGAATTAAAATAAATGTTTTTATTTAGCACTTGGTTGCACCAATATAAAATGAATCTGTTACGTAACGCGGCACTTTTCCTTGAGGATTTACCATAGTTAAGATTCACAGACGTTGCACCGGAACTATTCAAGAACTGTCAAAAAGAGCGAACGATCTTATTCGAGAAAGTTTGTTTATAAGATGAAATATGTATATATTATATTTCATTAACCTATTATTTACTGTTAACGAGATGACACGTATAGTCCTTATTAATGTTACAAGTATTTGCTATCAGCATATTGAATGTAACGTTAGTTATCTAGTTGAACTATTCCGTACGGCGCCGGTTTGTGGGCTTAGCCAGAAGAAATACACCAATAGGTTTGACCATCTTTGAGGGAGTGACTCTTACATTGTGAGTATCTATTTTGAACAACTTTAAGGTGGAAATTTAGCAGGCATGAAGGCATTTTGTGTTGTGAAAATATTCTAGAATCAGGAATCCTAGACATCTAATGTTGGTGACTAAGTAACTTGATTGATTGCAGTAGTGCCGTCGTGGAATTCCTCCATCGCTCGTTAGAATGATATGACCGCGATAGCACATTCTCACCGCACACGCTGTCCCGGCAACACTGATCAGTTATGTCAATACAGAACAAAAGGCACGCAAATGATTTCTTTGGCATTTTTTTCTCAGTAGTGTGACAAATCTAATCTCCTACTTGGAGCAACAGTCGAAGAGATAGCCTCTATTCTCATCCCGATTGCATTTAGAAGGAGTTTGCAGATATCTTATTGAAAGATTGTATGTGGTCATATCAAACACGCAATCTATCAAATCGACTTCCTTACGACGTATTAATTAACTAATTCTTAAAAGGCTAGTCTCTTAAGTTTTAATTCTTCAGAATTGATCGGTTTTGTCTGCTGCTGTATTTTTCTTGATGGCCATAGACAGATATCATGATAAGATATCCAACCAGCCCTGGTGGCTCGAAATTCAGACAAATATTTCTTGCTTCCCAAATGGAATTATGTTCCCGGTTCGTCTTACGTTTTCGTCTAGGGTTGATGCGAATACGTATATATTTCTCCTGACATCAAAAAAGACCGGTTCCGGTGAATATCATGCATTAAAGATGGTTGCAGAAAGAAGGACAGCTTTCTCATGGATTTTAGGGTTATGATGGGATACGATTTGACAAATATTGTCAACAACCCCACCCTTGGAACAACAGGATAAAAAGCCCAACCGAAATAGGCAGAAATTATCATGGGAAATGAAAATTCTATCCTGAAAAGAACATTCCATCGCTGCAGGAATTTGGCTATTATTTCCTCCATTAAGATTGAGTTAGGGATGTTAATTAAGATCATTAAACACAATGACATTTTATTATTGTCTTAAATTTGTGCTTACCTCAGCATCTACCAGGGTCTATAAACGCCTGTTCTTCAAGTTTTTAACTTTTATTTCTGCTAATGTTAATCTGCTTCTAACTGGCTATCTTAAAGGGCGGAT